TATAGCTAATGAAGAAACATAGTACCAGATAAGTAATGATATTCTTACTTCTCCTGAAATTAAAAAAAAAAATCAAAACCAATTAATAGATGGTCCTTTTTTATAAACATTTCAATAATTCTTGATTCAATTAGATAATGCACCATACAAAACTTCATTACTCAATAAAATCACTATGAGCAAATGTTGGATTTGCTTTTCTGGGCGTATTTCTTACGATGGTAAGCTCTATGAGAATAAAAACTGTACCTTACTCATAGCCTCTAGACCGAGCACAGTTCCTAGAACCAAGATGGCATGCAATAAATGATAGGTTGTCGGTTGGATGAATTCAAAAATTAATTCCAGTATCACTTATCTTTTACTGGTGCAGCTGTGCGATCACCTAAGACCCTGTAAACTTCCTGCAATGTTTTTGAAACAAACTTTGAACGAGCTTCTACTAAGCCAGATCTAGTCTCTCAAAAATTACTTCATGTATTATCTTTGTAAATGTTTTCAAAACATCATATAATCTAAGCAATGGTAACTTTTTCCCAATTGGCTTCAATCCACTTTCTCTATTTCATGAAGTCAGAGAACCTGGGAGTCAACCCCGGTGTCCTCTTGCTCCTTCAAACAACACATCAAATCTATCACCAAGTTCTGCTGATTCCATCTCTAGAATATATTCTAAACCCATCCACTTCTCTCCCATTTCCACTGCCACCTCTCTAGTCTAAGCTACTGTCTTCTTTATCACTGAAAAAGCCTCTAAATAGCGTTTCTGTATTCCACTCTTGCCTAATTCTAATCCATTCTTCATATAGTGGCCAGAAAAAAAAATTTTAAATGCAAATCTGATCCTGCTATTTCCTTGCTAAAAATCACTCAATGGTTTCCTACTACAATTACAATAAAAACCCAAATCCTAACTAATGTCCTCAGCCTATCTCTCCAGCCTCATCTTGTGTGACTCTTTTATTCACTGTACTCAAGTTACACTGGTCTTCTTACAGTTCCTCAAATTTATGAAGTTCTTATATGCCTCAAAACATTTACACAGGCTGGAAAATTCTTCTCTCTAGCTCTTTGACTTGCTGACCTTCTACTCATCTTTTAGGTCTCTGTAAATTATTACTTCCCTAGAAGAGGAATCCCAACCTCCAGCAATCTAGATCAGGAAGCCCCTGTTATAATCTCTTGCTGCATTCTTATTTTCTTCCTATTACCTATCAGTTTGTAATTAAAGATTTATTTATATGACTGTTTATGTATACGACTGTTGTTTTATTGTCTCGCTCATGAAACTGAAAGCTTCATGAAAGTTGAGTTTATGTCCAAAAAAAAAAATGTAGAGTATGTCTTTTTGTTCACCCTACAGCTCTCATATCATGCCAGGCACATGAATACTAAATCAAAGAACCTCATGGAGAAATAACACCACCGTAAGAATTTTAGTTCACTGCCAATGAAAATAAGCACAAATCAGAATTCAAAAATCTAGCTCTTTATTTCCTTGGTGCCAGATACACACATGGACAATCACAAGTTTAATAAAATGCTGGAAGAAACACACAGTTAGCTAGATTACTGTTGATACAAATTTATAGTGTCTCCACTGGGCCTCAGCAAGGCTCAGCATCCCTTTTAACACTTTCTAGTCAATCTTTCTCCTCACACTGCTACTATTCCAACTCCTGCCAACCAGACATTTAGAAAAAAGGAAGAGAAATCCAGACAGAGGGAGGAGTAAGTACAAAGGCTCCAAGGCAGGAGGGTGCTTGGTTGTCTAAGAAAGAGGAGTCCTGTGGCTGGAGTCAAATGAACAAGGGCCAGAACAAGGGGAGTAGCCAAAGAAAAAGGCAGCCATGAGATGCTACTGGGTCTTAAAGATAAGGATAAAAACTTTGTTAAAAATTCTAGGCAAGTGCTTGCTTCAGCAGCACATATACTAAAAATTCTAAACAAGACTGAAAGACATTAAAGGTTTTCTGTGCAGAGGAGTGGTATGATCTAACTTAAGTTTGAAAATATTTACTCTGGCTCCTGTATAAAGAATACAGACTGGATATTGGGGTGAGGGACAAAAGTAGAAGCAAGAAGATTAGTCTAGGGATATTACAACAGCCTAATCAAGAGATAATGGTGGCTTAGAATAAGGTAGTAAAGGTAGAAATAGATAGAAGTAGTCCTATTCTGGATATATTTTGAAAGTGGAACCACTAGGATTTGCTGATGGATTAAATATGGAGTATGAAACAGAGAGAGAGAGAGAGAGAGAAAATCAAGATACCTCTTTGGACCTGAGCAAGTAAAAAGACAAAACTGCCATTTACTCCCACTTTCCACTAAAAGAAACCAAGGATTCTTAGAGAAATGGCTGAATCTACAGCTAGAACAGTAAGAGCCGAGAACATATCACTGTGGTCAAAAGTAATGATGATATATACAAATATCGAATCATTATGTTGTACAACACCTGAAACTAACAGAATGTTATATGTCAATTACACCTAATTTTAAAAAAGAGTTGAATAAACTGGACAGAGTTAAAAAAAAAAAAAAAAAGACAGGGAGACATGTCAAAAGGACACAGCAGCTGGCTTGAAGAGGCTCCCCTGCCCAAATCTGGAACAATGTAAGCATCAAAATAAATATCGATAGCAACAAATTATAATTCATAAAATAAGAATCTTTGAGTCTAAATGGAATGAATAGATAAACAGGAAGAAAAAAAGCCTCTTCCTTACAGTAGAATGCCAATTAATAAACTTCATAAAGAAATAATGGAATTAGAGAATCATCTGTTTAGCAACCAACAAAGTAATAGTTTCAGGCAAGAATCACCACTGGATGCTAAATCCAGTGGGTAAAAGTTTGGTGAGAAACAGGATATTTACATGGTTTCAAAGTGTATTGCCAGAAGATACTTAGAGAAGGAAAATAATTTACAGAGAAGAAATTCCACCTTAACGAAGTGTTCAGAGTTAACATCACTTGTAACAGGACACATAAATACTACATACCTCCATATCATGCACAGAGGACACATCACCTCTATAGTATTTCTGCCCAAAGTGGATCACCTGAATCTCATCTTGATGAAACATAAAACAAGCTCAAAGTGATGGACAGTCTATGAAATAAACGACCTATGCACTTCAGAAATGTCAAAATCATGGAAGATAAAGACTGAAGAATTGTTCTACATTAAAGGAAACTAAGGAGACATGACCATTAAATGAAACACATGATCCTAAACTGGGTAACAACCCAGGGCAAGTTGTTTTTTCCTTTTGCTATAAAAGAACATTAGTAGTACAACTGATAAAATTTGAATAAAATCTTCAGATGGGATAATATACTTTATCTGCGTTAAATTCCCGATTTGATGATCATACTATGATCATGTGCAAGAACATCCTTATTTTTAGGAAATATGCACAGATGAGTAGGAATAAAAGGACATTACCATTATGTCTGCAACTTAGAAAAAAAGTTCCTCAAAAAAGGAACAACCACCTCCTCCTTTGAATTTCCACTGAACTCCATGTAAATTTCTACTATAGCATCTGTAACAATTTGTTTTTCTTATTGGTAGGAAAAGAAATGTGCCTTCAGTGGTTAAACAACCTGCCCAAAATAGAAGTCAGTAAATGACAAACCACAAATTGAACCAAGATCTAGGTGACTCAAAGCCAATACTTTGTTAAATCATAAGACGGCAGAATGCTCAGCAAATGTTTGCTATTTATACTGTTTTTATTTTTCAAAAATACTGGCATAATGACCTACACAAACAATCTATTCACAAATGGGTTTCTTAATCCAAAGAGTGTCACCTATACAACAGGAATCCCCAGCATCAGCCTTATAAACTCTTACTTTCAAGACAAGAGAGAGAACTCAACTTGGCCAATAGTGAGTTGGTGGCAAAGAAAGAAAAGACACAGGATAAATTAACATAATCTAGAAGAGCCTTTATGATCTAGCCCTTGCGCTTTTCCAATCTCATCTCTTATCGTTATCTATACCTAATATTCTTTATCCTATGTGAAAATTTATTCCCACAATTAAGCATGTTTTCCCCCATTTTCAAGTCTTTGCGCTTCTTTTCCTTCTGATTATATGGGAACCCATTGCTTGTCATCCTGATAAACTCGTACATATTCTTTAAGACCAGCTCATATAGTATTTTCCCTAAATGAATCCTCCTCTGACCTCCCCAAGCACAGGTAGATGCTATCCTCCCAAAACATTATGTACCCTACAATTAAACCTTCCACATGAATGAAATTATTTATTTACAAGTCTCTCCTAGACTATACTTGAGAGAAGGAATCCTGTCATTCACTTGGGCATCTTTAGCATCTGAAGCATAAGTAGGTTCTCTGTCTATACATTTATATCTTGCTACATGTCCCAAAGGATTAAGGCAAAAGCATTTAATAAATATTTCTAGCAGTAATGAATATGAGTGTTTTATCACTTGAAAAAAGCTTGGTTTTTGTTTTTTGGTTGGTCAAATCCCAAACTCTTCTTCATTCATTGACAGAAAATAAATAAACCAAACTCATTTAATACTGGTAGTCAAGGGGTACCTGCGTGACTCAGTCAGTTAAGCGTCTGACTTCGGCTCAGTTCATGATCCCAGTCTCCTGGGACCAAGCCCCGCATCAGGCTCCCTGCTGGGCGGGGGAGTCTGCTTCTCCCTCTACCTCTGCCCCTCCCTCGGCTCGTGCTCACAGGCACGTGCGCTTTCTCTCTCTCTCAAAGAAAGAAATAAAATCTTTATTAAAAAAAAAATACTGGTAGCCAAAAGAAACTTGTTTATCTGCAAAACCAAAGCAGTCATAATGGATTTAAAAGGAATATGTTAACAAGCAGACTATGTATATACACAAACCACATCTATTAGCAGATCAGACCGATAAATAAATTGCTGTTACTGCTTTACCCAGGATCCTGTTTCTTGTCCATGACCAAATTATTTGTCCAATTTGAATATCCAACTTTACCTGCAGTGCTTGTTCTTGGATATCACGAAATAATTCCATATCTTTCTCAGTCATGATTTCCTGGCTCCCAAAAAGCCGTTCCTCACTTTCTTGTTTGCCATCCCAGCCATCCTGATTGTCTGCACATAAAAAAAGAGCTCATATGTTATTAATATTATCCTTAGTTTAATAATTTCAGTTTGAAGACCTTAATATTATTTTTACAAGAGAAGAGGATAGCAATAAACTGACACCTATAAAGATGGGTCAGTAAATAATAAGTAAATATTGTATCTGCTTATAATGAAAACCTGACCTGTCCTAAAACTTCTTAAAATTATTACATAACTAAATTTCAACTTCATTAGTATGTTATATTTTAGTATACTATAATATATACATGTATATAATATATACGTACATATATGTGAATATACAATACATGCAATTATATATTATAATATATACAAAAGTTTGATGAGCACCATGTGATGTATAGAAGTGCTGAAACACTATACTGTACACTTGACTAATACTACATAATATTATACTGTGTATGTTAACTAACTGTAATTTAAATAAAAATGTAAAAGAATAATAATATATACAAAAGCAGAACAGAAAAAAGGTCTAAGGAATATGAAACTTTGAAATAATATGAATAAAAAATTTTTAGTATGGATTTAATATATCAAAATTCAAATACTGCTGTTTTCATTCTTTGGTAGTATGGAAGAAGTTTATGTTACAGTAGGACATGATTTTCATCACATGGGACCAAAACACAGAAAATTTGTTCCTTTTATAAACCTTAATGATCCTGTGATCTTCATAAGGCCAGTAGTACATTCTTATCTCAGCAAGAAGATAACCTTCGAAATAACTACCATACTCCCCTCACATTCTGGGTGCCCTTTTAAATAAGCAAAACTCCACAAATCTGAGGATCACAGATGATAATCCTCTAGGTAAGTATGACAAATTATAATAATCATTCAGTAAATGATGTATCTTCCTCACATGGGCAAGGAAATTCATGAAAGGAGTATTGGGGGATTATGTAGATCATTATCTTCTACACTTGCAGATGACACCGCCGATAGACTAATTTCCTATTTGTGTAAGTAATGGCAGAAAAGACCAATTTGTGACAGTTCTTTTCAAATTAAATAGAATATAGGGCGTCTGTTATTCACTTAATGTAAGAAGAATAAGGACAAGGACTCACCACTGAAAATATTCCCAAACTGAAAAATATGTATCTGAAGATACTATGTGACTTTAATGCCCCCTAGTGCATTATACAGATGGATGCAGGCACAGATCATTCAGCAGCATTCTATCAGATGGTGCAGACTGTTCCTTAAACTCTACAATTCATAAACTTACAAAGCCAATTACAGCAAAAACACCAATGCAAAAAGTCAATACCGATTCTCCATATGCTTTATACATTTTCTCTAATAATTTCTATTTCTAAAACTTTCCAGGAGATCCTTTTTTTTTTTTTTTAATATTTTTATTTATTTATTTGACAGAGAGAGACACAGTGAGAGAGGGAATACAAACAGGGAGAGTGGGAGAGGGAGAAGCAGGCTTCCCGCGGAGCAGGAAGCCCGACGCGGGGCTCGATCCCAGGACCCTGGGATCATGACCTGAGCCGAAGGCAGACGCTTAACCGACTGAGCCACCCAGGCGCCCCATCCAGGAGATTCTTGTAATAATCCATCTCCAGTGAAACACTTAATTCAAAAATGCCTTTCACTAGGATCTGCTTTAGATTCCTTCCTCCTAGGTCCAACCTAAATGGCTTGCATATTTTCTTAGGTAAATGTACTCAGACTGGAACTACCGTGTACATGGCTGATAAAGACATGAAAAGTACTTAAGCACTTACAGAGTAATTAGTTGATTGCCATTCTGGTGAAAAGCCAATCAATACAGCATAAAAAGGGGGACCTGACAATGATGATTTCCTCTCCTGTGCTGGACCAATCAACCATTTATACAAGCAGGAATGAAGAAGCACTGAATATAATCACCAATGAGACATTCAGAGGAAGGAAATTAACGTTAAGAAATTCTCTTGCAGTATAAGAAATACTACATCTTTGGCCCTTGTGACCCAAAGGAGTCCATTCTCATTCTTCTACTTTCCTCAGACGCTTTTTTACTTACTTCACAGGGTTAAGTCTGTAAACTCACGGCACTAAATAGCAATGAGACTAGTTTAAACTTTAATTATCAAGACAGCTAATGACTTGAATTACCTGCTACACTATTAAGTCTTCTCTACAGATCTTTTCTACTTTGAAAACTAGGGAACTCAGCCTGATACACAAGTATGAAGTGAATAAAAAGAGGGGATGCTACAACTGATACCACAGAAATACAAAAATCATAGAAGGCTACTACGAACAATTATACCTCCAAAAACGTGACTATCTAGAAGAAATGGATAAATTCCTGGAAACATATAACCTACCAAGACTGAATCATGATGAAATAGAAAATCTGAACTGACCAATTACTGCTAAGGAGATTGAATCAATAATCAAAAACTTCCCAACAAACAAAAGCTTCACCGGTGAATTCCACCAAATATTCAAAAAACACTTAATACCATCCTTCTCAAACTCTTCCAAAAATAAAAGAGGGAACTCTTTCAAGCTCATTTTATGAGGCCAGCATTACCTAAGCCAGTCAAAGAAAGAAAATTACAGGTCAATATCCCCAATGAACATAGATGCAACATAGATCCTCAACAAAATATTAGCAAACTGATTTCAACAATACAAGAAAAGGGTCATCATACACCATGATCAAATAGGATTTATTCCAGAGATTTAAGGATGGTTTAATATCCACAAATCAGTCGATACACCACAACAACAAAATGAAAGATAAAAATCAGATGATCATTTCAAGATATGCAGAAAAAGCATTTGACAAAATTCAACATCCATTTATGATAAAAACTCTCAACAAAGCAGGTATAGAGAGAACGTACCTCAACATAATAAAGTCGTATATGACAAGCCCACAGCTAACCTACTCAATGGTGAAAAGCTGAGAGATTTTCCTCTCTTTAAGATCTCTCTAAGATCAGGAATAAGACAAGGCTACCTACTCTCACTACTTTTATTCAACATAGGATTGAAAGTCCTAGCTAGAGCAATTAGGCAAGGAAAAAAATAAAAGGTATCCAAGTTGGAAAAGATTTGCAGATGACATAACAGAGAAAACCCTAAAGACTCCATCAAAAAACTCTTAGAACTAATAAATGAATTCAGTAAACTTGAAGGATACAAAATCAATACACAAAAATCTGAATTGTTTCTATACACTAACAATGAACTACCAGAAAAAGAAATTAAGAAAACAATCCCATTTACAATTGCACCAAAAAGAGTAAAATATCTAGTATCTAGGAATAAATTTAATCTAGCAGGTGAAAGACCTGTACATTGAAGACAAAACACTGTGTGTGTGTGTTGTGTGTACACACACATATATATGACATTAATGAAAGAAATTAAAGACACAAATAAATGGACAGATATTCCATGCTCATGGATTGGAAGAATACTGTTAAAATGTCCATAGTACCTAAAGCCATCTATAGACTCAAAGCAATCCCCATCAAATTTCTAATAGCATTTTTCACAGAAATGGAAAAAAAAATCCTAAAATTTGTACACAACCACAAAAGAATCCAAATAGCCAAAGCAATCTTGAGAAAAAAGGACAAAGCACTAGAGCTCCCTGATTTTAAACTATATTACAAACCTACAGTTATTAAAACAGTATGGTGTTGGCATAAAAACAGACACAGAGATTAATGCAACAGAAAAGAGCACCTATAAATAAACCCGTATATATATGGTCAGTGAATTACAACAAAAGAGCCAAGAATATACAATGGGGGAAAAGACTGCCTTTTCAATAAATAGTGTTGGGAAAACCGGACAGCCACATGTGAAAGAATGAAACTACACAACTCTCTTACACCACACACAAAAAGTAACTCAAAATAGATTAAAGACTCGAATTTAAGACCTGAAACTGTAAAACTCCTGGAAGAAAACATAGGCGATAATCTCCTTAACATAGTTTTTGACAATCATTTTTTAAATCTCATACCGAAAACCAAAAGCAAAACAAAACAAGCTGGACTACATCAAATTAAAAAGCTTCTGCACAGCAAAGGAAACCATCAACAAACTAAAAAGGCAACCTACTGAATGTAAAAAGATATTCGAAAATCATATATCCAATAAGGGGTCAACATCCAAAATATACAAAGAACTCATTCAACTCAATAGCATAAAACAAACAACCCACAGGGCACCTGAGTGGCTCAATCGGTTAAGCCTCTGACTCTTAATTTCGGCTCAGATCAAGATCTCAGGGTCGTGAGATCGAGCCCTGTGTTGGGCTCTGTACTGAGCATGGAGCCTGCTTAAGATTCTCTCTCCCTCTGCCTCCCCCCTCTTCCATGCTCTCTCTCTCTCAAAAAACAAACAAAAAACCCCACAAAAACAATCCACTTAAAAATGGGCAGAAGATCTGAACAGACATTTTCCCAACAAACACGTAAAAATGGGCCACAGGTACATGAAAAGATGCTCTACATCATTAATGAACAGTGAAATGGAAATCAAAAACACAAGGAGATACCACCTCACACCTGTCAGGATGGCTATTATCAAAAAGACTAGAAATTATAAATGTTGGTGAGAATGTGGAGAAAAGGGAACCTCTGTGCACTGCTGGTGAGAATGTATATTGGTGCAGCCACTATGGAAAACAGTACAGAGGTTCCTCAAAATATTAAAAAGAACTGCCATACAATCCAGCAATTCCCCTTCTGGGTATGTAATCCAAAGAAAACAAAAACATTCATTTGAAAAGATATATACACCCCCGTGTTCGCTGTAGAATTATCTACAGTAGACAAGATATGTAAATAACCTAATGCATCAATGGATTAAGGAAACTGTGGTGTTTGTGTATAACATTATTCAGCATAAATAAATAACATACATACATATATACATACATACATACCAAACTCACAGATAAAGAGAACAGATTGGTTGTTTGCCAGAAGAAAGGTGGGAGGTAGAGGGTAAGAGAAATGAGTGAATTATTTTTTTGTTTTTTAGTTTCAATAAACAGAATTTTAAATAAATAAATGAAAATTAGGAAAGTTAGCCTAATACATAAGTAAATGGTCTGAAGTTGTAGTTCTCTCCCTTTCTCTCTTTTAAAGTATAATTCATGAAATATTACAACTATATTTGCCAAGATTTGAAGTAGAAATATCAGTGACCTTATCATACTCGCATGTATTTTGGTCTTTTCTCTATGCTTAGATCAACAGCATTTTATCCACCCATACTCTTTCCAATTTCCTTCTGGAAATAATCATCATGATGCTCATCACATGATTTGTTTTGTAATTTATGAAATGTAAAGATATCCTTGATTTAAGGTCAATACCTTAAATTTCTATAAGATTCTTTGTGGTTCTACAAAAAAAAAAAAAAAAAAAAAAAAGCACCATCTTTTGCCTAAGAGTTCCTATTTGCCCACTCTTAAAATTTCATCTCCAGCCTCTCAATCCCTGCCACAGTCACCACCTTACTTTAATCTAAATATGTACCTTTAATATGTTCTTCTAGTCCATAACCATAGATAATAATCAACTGTAAATCTATTCTAGATAACTAGTGTTATTCCAAATAATACACTTTGGGAATACATTTTGCTTCTAAGTAAACTTTTACCTGTGGGCCAATCTGAAGTGCTCGATTTTCTGTTGCCCTTTTTCCTGATTCTATATTGCTCAGAGTAGTCTACCACTTCCCCTCGAGGTTTCCGCCCATCGGGGGAAGGGGTGAAGAATTTGGTAAGGCCATCAATGAGCCCTTTGGTTTTCTTGTTGAATTTCAAGGGGACACTGCTATCTCTGCAGAAGTCCAAGCCATCTATTCGCTCTAAATATCCTTCTTCTGATGACGATGCTGATTGGCTGGAAAGGGTGATTTTACGTTTCCGGCCCCTTCCCGGACCAGTTCGAACTTTGCTGAAGGGACCTTTTGATCTAAAAAAATCAAACAGGTAAAAGGGTAACTATTAAAAAAGAAATCCTTGTAAGGTTTCTATTTAATATATAACATGTAATTAGTAAATAACCTCTAGTTTTATTTAAAAAACTGTATTGTTAAGACTATTCCATAAACCATAAATATTATAGGAATGAGAAGTAATATTGTTATTAGAAATAATATTTTTGGAGAGTCTAGTATTTTATAGCAAAAAGAATCTTAAGGTTGGGAGTCAGAAGGAATGTTTAAGTCATAATTCTGCCACTTTCTAGCTACACGTCTTAGAGAAATCACATTCTGTCTAAACACCATTGTCTTCATCTATAAAATGAGAGTTGGACCAGAGAACAATTAAGACCCTTCCAGGTATAGAGTCCTATGATCTCTGTATCAACTCAGAGTTACACTTTTACCTCTAAACACAAAGTCAGGAATCAAAAGATCATCTTATAGGAAAATTAAAGCCTGATTTAAGATTTAGAATATGAACTACAATACTGGTGCTGTATATTTCAAGCTGCTAATGCCCATTCCTTTCAGTTATTATCTTCAAGACAGTCTAAAGTGTAGGAAAGGTGGGTAAAATTTTTAAGAATACAGGTTTACAGGCTTAAAGATATCTTACATATCATCAAAAGGGAATTACTATAGACACTCACACACACACACAAAAAAGAATTAGCTACTGAATCTTGCCCCACGTCCTCCAGATATAGCCCAGTTTCCTAGTCCACAAGGGATAATTATATCCCTGATTTCTGCTAACAGATGAAAAACACATTATTTTATTTTACATCAGGACATAGAAATGGGACTTGGCTATGACCTCAACAGCAAAAGTTATCCAGTGATTATTTGTACATATAATATAAATAAACTACTGAGACCACATTAGGAGAGGAATCTGGGAAATGCTATAATATAATTTTTTCTTTGTTTACATACGAGCAATATAAGGCAGTGTTTAAGAGTTAGACTTTGGTGCCAAACTACTTGTGGGTTTCAATCCCAGTTCAACACTTACTATAGACTGTGCAAGTTAATCTACTGTGTTGTAGTTTCCACCTTTGAAAAATAAGAGTAACAAAAATACTACTTCATGTGGTTGTTGAGAAAATTAAATGATCAACGCATCGTAAGGCACTTAGGACTTTATTCTAACTTGGCACTTTATTAAGAGTTCAGTAAGTATAGCCATTATTATTACATAAAAGTGCCAATTGTAACAACTGGAATTTTTTTCACAAGGCAAACAAGTGACTCCTACACCAAGAGAAGACCCTATCCTTTTCTCCCCTCACCTTGCCACAAGTACAACTTACACCGTGTTTTGTTTCTTTAACCTGTTTTTCGGACGTCCAATTGGGTTAGCATAGCGCCGTTTTATCTGTGCTGCCTTCTTCTGTAGAAGTTTCCGTCCTTTTTTCCTAGGTCGACATATTTGACATATCCACATGCCTATAAAAAATACAATTCCACATAAAGCACAAAAGGCAGAGATACATGGAAAGAGTTCAGATACTCTAGTAGGAGTTCTTAACCTTTCTTAGGTCAAGGACTCCCATTTAAAAATCTGATGGAAGCCCCTTAGAAAAATAAACATGAAAACGTATACACACAAAATTCTACAAACAACTGGAAAAGACTCACAAATATCCTAAAGCCCACATATGGCTGAAGTCCACTGATCCTCGTTAAAAAGCCCTGCTCTACCCCCTGGCACCCAGATTATTAGTTTCCAATTACCATTCTATAAGAAAAGAAGCCAGGTTTCCATAGAGTAATAACTGATTCCAGGACTGGAGCAAGGAAAATACTTGATAACCTGGAGCATCTTACAGTGCCAGAAAATGGAGAAGTGCTCAAAAGATGAGGAAGGCATGTCAAAAGGACCTAGAAGCCAACTTGAAAGACCTCCCAATAGCCAAATCTGGGTAATTCTGAGCAAAGAAAGGGATAATCACATCAATGGATTATAACCTATTGAATAAAATATCCATGAGTCCATTAATAATATAATAATTGAATAAATAGGAAAAGGGATAGCTCTTCCTTGTAGCAGAATTCCAATTAATAAATGTAGAAGGGATGATGGAAGCAAAAAAACCATCATCATGTAAACACCAAACTAAAATTAGGGCAAACAAGAATCACTGATGGATGCTAAAGTTAGTACAGGAGGAAAAAGAGTAACTTTAAGGTCAGGTTTCTACTGTAATCAAGTGACCAGTTAACATTACCAGTAATAAGACATATTCGTATTATACACCCACACTACAATGCACTAAGAAGGATACAGTATCACTTCTGTGTTGTTCTTATCAAACTTCATAATCTTAATTTAATCATGATAAAGAAAGAGACAAGCCTAAATTTAAGGACTTTCTACAAAATAGCTGGCCAGTTTCTTCAAAAGCGTCAAGGTCAGGAAAGACAAAGAATTAACACAGACTGGAAGAGACTAAGGAAATATGACAATTAAATGCATTGTGAAATCCAGGACCGGATTCTGGACCACAAATTCAAATACAGTCTACAGATTAGTTAATTGTATCATATCAATGTCAGTTTCCTGGTTTCAGTAATTGTACGACGGTTTTATAAGATGTTAACATTAGAAGCTGGTGGTGGCTGAAATAAGAAGTCTCTGTACTATTTTTGCCACTTCTCTGTAAGTTGCAATTACTTCAAAATAAAATGATTCCTGCTTTAAGCTGCAATGAAACTTTTGTAGGCACTATACACAGGAATGAAGTCCTAAGAAAATCTTTCTTATCTTGAAGGATTCTCAGAAGGCCTTCTGCCCAGACTTCAAATAAATGGAAGAGGTAGGAAAGGGGTATTTATTCTTCCAATACATATAAATCTTAGACTTTTCAAAAGGTAACAACCAACAGAATGATGTAAGAGGGACTCAAGTAGGATCCTAAGTGGAATAACTTGACTATACCTAAGGTTCAGTCCTTGCCATCCACAGGAAAATTTTTCCCAAGAAGAAATTATCAAATATCCTATAAGCATTTTACTTAAGAAACCTATTAAGTCACAAAATCAGAGTTAAAAATGGAATTTGTGATAAGGAAAAAGCAGGAGAGACTAACTGGACTTTTTTTTTTTTAAGAAACTATAAGCATATAATAAGATGGATGCTCAACCACCAGGCAGTTATCTTCCAACCAAATACCTTTCAAGGAACAGGAGTCAAAAGAATAGAATAACATTAAGCTGTACTCTTATGAGTTAGGGCACAAAAATTACTCATTTGCAAATCATTTTATTAAAACATTTTTTTAAGTTTTGAATAAACCAGAGATGCTCTAGGCCTTTCAAAAGTGATGAACAGTGAAATAATCAATACTGATATAATCAACATGATCTAATACAATTTCATTTCTTCCTTTACAGAAAGAGATATTTCAAAATATTACACAAGGCAAGTATTTTGTCCTCTAGCTACAGGACTGGCAAATATTCATTCATAAATGAACTACTTCGCTCTCCACGGATACTTAAACATCAAAAATAGAGGAAAATAATAAATCCATACACATAAGAACGTTAGGATGCCTCAATAGACTATCCCCACCTTTAAGGAGACAGCTCTCTTCCTACTTATACAATTCCAAATAGAAAGATGCAAATTATTCTTTCATTTAACAAAGTAGATAAAAGGTGCTTTCACTAACATGCCCTTTATACTGCCAATCTGATTTCAGAATGTATTTCTCACCTTTTGGCATCCGGGTGAGTGGCGGATCACAACACTCCATGTGAAAACCTCGGTCACAGGAATCACAAAAGAGCATGTTATCCTAAAAAAGAAAAGGACAGTTTTGCTTAACCTTATGAAACAAAAACATGTGAGGATTACAACTTCATAAAATCTAGGAAGCTTCAATGATCTCATAAAGGAGATGAACTACCATAACAGTAAAACCTTCTTTAATTTGTATTAACTGAGTTAATGGACAGTCTGAGTTAGCACAAGTTTTGCTTCAACAAACCTTTAATAAAGAACTACGGTTTCATAACTTTCAAGTTTATCCAGTAACCAGATATAAGCTAACTTTAGTTTTCTAATGGAAAAGAGAAAAGAACCATTTGTAGTTAATATACTAACTGACCATTCCTACTAAGTGAATGCCTCCATACTACTCAAATTTCAGGAGTATTTCTTTAGGGGAGGCTGGGTAGCTCAGTCGTTAAGCGTCTGCCTTCAGCTCAGGTCAAAATCCCAGAGTCCTGGGATCGAGCCCGACATCACATTGGGCTCCCTGCTCAGCAGGAAGCCGGCTTCTCCCTCTCCCACTTCCCCTGCTTGTGTTCCCTCTCTGTCAAATAAGTAAATAAAATCTTAAAAAAAAAGGGGGGGGGTTCTTTAAAGTAGCTTAGTCTCTCTGCAAACATATAATTAAGGTGCTTTAGAAACCACCTAGAAAGAATTGAAGTCTCAAGGAGTAAGTATTCTAAACTAATGATGTGTAATTTAAAGAGACTCCTGTTTCAAATTCTGCTGGATCAAGTGACTAAAAACTAGCCAACAATACTTAAAGGAAATTACCAGTTGTACATTCTACTTCTAAGTGAAATATTCACGTTGTAAGGCAAAGATACTCACTGCATTTTTGCCTTGATCTCGACAGGAGCTGCATGTTTTACACTCAATGCACTGCCACCGTAAGGCCTTCACTCTAACCGTTAGTTCAGGGGAAAACTTTAAACAGGATGGATGACCTAGTAAGAGGAGAAAATTCTCAAATGAAACAATCAAGGATCATTTTGTAATTGTATTAAAGGAATAATGTAGAAAAAGGCAATTACCTTAAATCAAAAAGGTATCAAAAAAAAGATGCTCTTGGAAGCTTGCCAGACATGTCTCATCAGGACTTGGCATTCCTATTCAGTTTTATTGATGCTAAACAGTACTTAGTACACCACCTCCCCCCACAATGTGATTATAAAAAACCTGACAAACTCCTAAATTTTATTAAGCCTGCATTAAAGCATTATGTGAGTACACATGCTTATATGTATACCAACACACAGCATGCCCAGGCCATTTCTGGAAGGATACACAAAAACTGTTTGCAACTGTAATGTCCTAGGATATGAAGCTATAACTATTTTGAAGGAGAAGGATTTTACCTTTCACTTCACACTTCTGTGCTCTCAATTTTTAAAACAGTAACATACTACTTTTATAACCAAAAATACATTTTTATTAAATCCCATCATTTAAAGTGAGTTATTTTAGCTAAAAACTAAAATCTAAGCAATATTTCTATTGTGATCAGAATTAACAGTAACAGGGAAAAAAAGTCTCCTCTTCCAAGAGTTAGTATCCATTTGATTATCAAATTTTAAGAAGTAAGTCTGCCCTCACTCTGAAAAGATCTGTCCCTTTCCTCTAAAAGTTGGTTACATTTTTATTTTTCTTTGGTGAGAGAAAGGGCTAGTTATATTATTTTCTCTCCTCTCCTTTCTATTCCTAAATAAATTTCTCTTTTATGAGATGCTATGAAGTTTACTATCAAAACATCACTGACATCAAAGGAAAATGATAAAGTGTAAAAATCTCATTCATAATCTCTTCTTCCTAGATTAGCCATTCCCTGTTCTACTTTTCCTTTTTAGATTTGCTAAAAGCCCTTGCACAGTTTTAATTATAGGGTATGTACACTTTTATTTTGCTTTTCTTCATCCTTTTAGTCAAGTAAACGTTATATTTATATTCCTTAAACTGAATAATTCCACTGAGTTGATACCCTATAACCTACCTCGCCATTTCCCTATTGTTAACTATTTAAACTATTACCCATAATAGAACACTACAATGAATTATTTTATGTTTACAGATTCTTTCCTTCTTTTAGATTAATTCCTGAAAGTGGGGTTGGTAAGTGAAATGAAAGAAACATTTCTGTAGCTTGAGAAGTAGATATGCACTGCCAAATCATGTTTCCAAATCCTCCGATATAATATCTAGTGCTACCAGCAAAGTGCAAATGTTTTACCACGATTTCATCAGCTCTAGGTTTGGGTTCTCTTATTGTTCAAATTTTATTATTATAAAAGATATAAAATGACACTTCACTGCTGCACTGGTACGCATGCTTATTATTACTTGGGTAAAATGTTTTCTTAGTATGTTCAACAATTAACTTTCTCTCTTAGAAACTACCTGTTCATAGGCTCTAACCTTTGGACTTCATGCTAGAAATGTAAACATGCTCTTCACACTTTATAGCTTTTGGCCCTTTACCATATTTAATGCAATTATTTTCCCCAAACAATTCTTTAAAAATTTTCTTTTTAATTTTGGGTATTTTAGTTCTCAGTTTGGAAAGTATCAACTGTCATATATTTGACTATATCCATAGTTTTTTCCTTTGTTACTGTAATAGCCAGGGTCCAAGCTGCCTTCCAAACATTCTTGCCTTTTGGCAAAAATACCAATTGACACCTGTGTAGTTCCTCCCACACTAAACAGGGCTGATCTGTGTGCTGAAATGACAAGCTAAGGCTAGGTAATAAAAGATATTGCACCTTGTTCTCTCTCTCAGATACCTGCTTGGGGGAATCCAGCTTCCATGCTGTGGGCATGCTTGCAGCCCTCTGAAGAAGTCCACATGGCAAAGAGCTGAGGCTCCCTGGCAAGAGGCAGCATTAACGTGCCAGCCACGTAAGTCAGTCAATGGAAGCCTTCAGGTAACTGAGTACCAGTTAAAATCTTGACTGCAACCTCATGAAAGATCCCAAGTCAAAATCACTCAGGTAAGCCACTCCCAAATTCCTGACTAACAGGAACATGAATTAAAAAATACTGCTTTTAGCTGCTACATTTTGGAGTAGTTTATTTCCACAGTAATAGATAACCAATAGTTATTTATTCTAATAGTTCTTTAAAAGTTCCCTCTATTGTTTTCAAATTGCAAAGAACTCAGAGACCATCTCAAATATAATGGGTCTTACAAGGCAGGGCTACCACACAACTCCCCGCCCCCCATTTTATTCCCATCTCACCTGAGCAGATCTATTTTTATCTGTTTTATAATACTTAGGGTCCTATATGATTTTTTAAGGATTCTACTATGAAAATAGTTTGGAAATCACTGCAATGTAGGATATGTCACTATATTTTTGTCTAATATTTTATGATTTTATGGTTTATATTTTACTGTAAAATCCATCCAGACTTCATTTTGGTTTGTGATACTATGCTAGATATGATCACCTACTACTCGAGATCTTTTGCCACCGCCTTCAAAAGCCTTCTGTAAATAAAATCCAAAAAGCTGAAAGCTATACTTCCTAGACTCCTTTGCAGCTAGGCTCTAGATATGAATTAAATTCTACCAACTGGATGTGTTTGAGTGATTTTTTGAAAGGGAGAAATGAAACAAAGACCACTTTTCTCCTGGTACTGACTGTTTTCTAATGATAAAGTCATGAAAATGCCAGTACGCATCCACTCTTCACCTTCATGGCTATCCAGAGGCAATTGTGGTAATGGCCAAATTCAGTCTTTCAATAATTCAAATTCAGCTACAGTCCTGTAGCAGCCTCCTGCTTCCACCTCTTCCAAATGGAGGCAGATATAAGTGACTCCTCTGGTGGATCAGTTCTGTGATATTCCAGAATCAGTCCTTAAAGCCCAGCTTAGAGCTTTCCTCTTTAGCCCTTCTAATAATTCATAAACATCTGGTCCTGGTATTAAATTTCTTTCCTCTTGAAGTATCTTAGTGGTTTCTGGTTTCTCAACTAAATAATGATTGTTACAGATATAAAACACTGAAAATTAAGCCAATGATCAAAGATAATATATAATGTTGGTTTACTAATACGGCCTTCCTACAAAAACTTGTAAGATCTGAAAATGTAGACCAAGAATATCTCTGGAATTGACAAACTAGGAGAGTCTTTGCAAAATCATTTTTAGAGCCCAGGATTTCACACAGCTCACTAAATTGCAGTGTCAACATTCCATTTCCCAGCGTGAATATGTAAGTTTCTATCAAGAAACACAGATCTGTTATCATCCTGGTTCTATTCATAAAGCCTGAGGCATAAATCAAGAAAGATAAGTAGTGATTATTAAAGAAACTAGCAATAATTTCAAACTGATTGCTGTGATTTGAACAGATGTTTGATAGTCAAATATAAAGATCAACAGGAAAAAATAAGTCTATGGAAAGATTTAAAAAAAAAACAAAAAAAAAACCTAAGACCTGATTTTAAATTAACTGAATAAAACATTTCAACTATACATTTAAATCCTTCCCTTGTCTAGAAGCTCGTCCCAGTTACCTTAAACCAGAATCAAATTAAAGTATTAGTTTTATAAGGATCAAGGATACCATCTCAGTTAAATGCACCTCCCTCTTGGCTGACAGCACATGTCAGAAGGAATCCAGGGGATTACATACCACTGTTACCACAGTCGGCACAGGAGATGAGTTCCTCTGGCTTCTTTTCTCGGTTTTGTTCTTTTGTACCAAGACAGAAACTACAGATGGGGATTGGTTCAGCAACGGGCTATAAAGAAAAAACAATTCACTCAGGTACGAGTAGTTTTTTTTAGTATTAATACAAAGACATTAAAATTACAGTTTTAAATTCCTATGAAAGTTATATGTAACTTTAAGACAACTGTATCACTCTCCTAAATCTCCGACTAAGTAAGGGAATTTTTACAAAGCCTGCTTTGGCTGGACCTTTACAACCAGTCCTTGTAGTGACAACTTTGGTCCAAAAAATCGTATCTCAATTGGTCACTTAAAAACTAAATGACACAGTATGGATTAAACAAAGCAAATCCTTCACCGAAGATTGAAGAAATTCAACTGAACTAAGTGTAAGAAATCACAGTCTCAGTCCTTAAAAAGTTATGTCATGTGGGACAAGTGACAAATGTACAGAAATAAGCACCACATAAGGTGGCAGACGTTAAGTGCTAGAAGAGACAAACAGTAAGTGCTCTGTACAAATGAGAAAGAAATTTCAGTTGCAGTTTGGAGGAGAAGGGTTGAAAGAAGAAGGTAACATGTATTAAGTACTGGTACTATGCTATGGGATCTTAACAAGTTTGTCCAAGGACAATAGATAGTAATTGTTAAAACTGGGTTTAAACCTAGGGTTCTATGTTCCTCTACAGCACCACCCCTGCCCCTCTAGCCCACAGGATGGAGAGAAAGGCAGTACAAGTGGTATAAACAAGATGAACTTAGGTGTGCAGATTGCTAAAGCCAGTACTTAAAGGGTCCAGTTTCTGTGATAAGTGTGGGGGTGCGGGTACGTCAGTTTGTGAAGATTGTCACTGAATGTCTTATAGAGAAGTTGCACTTCATCCCGCAGGAAGAGAAGAACAATAGAAGGCTACTGAATCAAGAGATAATCACCTATATTTGAGGGGGAAAAAAAAATCCAGTAGCAATATCAAAGACAAATGGGGGAAAAACCTAAAGGTAAGGAGAACATTTAAACAATGACTACAATAGTCTGGTGAAGACAAGATAAGAACCTGAACCAAAAAAAAAAAGGAACAGAAAACAATAGCTATGGACTTAGAAATCAACTAGTTATGGAAGTTAACAGAAAACGAAACGAGTTAAGTATGACTGACTTAATGAAAAGATGGTGTGAATGGTTAGGTCATTTTCAAGAAGAAAATCAGGAGAAAAAGATGCTGAGTTTGATGTTAGATGTGTTTAGCTGGAGGCACTCTCAGTCAAATCTCAACCATTTATATGGGACAGAGATATAAAGCCCTCAAGATTCTTTGAGTCTACTGGAGAGAACAGATTAAATGTCTGTCAGTACTATGACAGAAGTGTTACAATGAGAAACAACGGAGGAAGGGAATCAAGTAGGAGAAAGGGCTGTCAGGGGAAGGTTTCCCAGACTTAAGTTCTTCTGGAGTTCTTAAGTTCTTAAGTTCTTCAGGGAGACCACCTGATGGGGGTGTTCAAACAAAATACAGAATCAGTTTTAGGAGGAGGGGGATGAGCTTAGTTTGGGACTTATTGAGCATAATATGCCTATGGAGCATCCATGTAGCAATGCCCATGGACTTTATGATACAGGGATCTGAAGTTCAAGAGAAAGGTTAGTCTGGAAATAAAACTCTAGAAATCATATACCTACAAAATGGCATTAAGACCTTCAAAGTTGATGAGTTCTCCCATGGAGAACAGGGAGAAAGAAGAAACCTAAAGTCAGAATACCAATATTAAAGTGGCTGTTAGAGGAAACAGCTTGGGAAGGAAACTGATTAGTGAGACAGTTGGATGGTACATTAGTAATGTCCAACACAAGCAAATCAATAGTATTCCTTAGCGAAGAGATTAAATGAGAGACGAACAGCTGGAGGTTGTCTTAATAATTCTGACTCTGGTAAAGATGGCCACACCCTCGCCTTTTACTAACTAGAATTTAAATAAAACTTTGGGGAAAAAAAAGGAATATGAAAAAGAACGGGCGAGTAAAGTCAGGAAAGACTTCACCGTGAAGTAGAAACTGCAAGTAAGTAAGCTCTCAGTGAACAGTCAAGTCACTGAATGGAAGCTATTAATAGCATATTTAACTAACAAATAAATGGCTTAAATCCAGAATATACAAAGAACTCTCACATGTCAGTATGGAGAAGACAGACAGTTCAATAGAAAGCTAGGCAGGGGCGCCTGGGTGGCTCAGTTGGTTAAGCAACTGCCTTCGGCTCAGGTCATGATCCTGGAGTCCCGGGATCGAGTTCCGCATCCGGCTCCCTGCTCAGCGGGGAGTCTGCTTCTCCCTCTGATCCTCCCCCATCTCATGCTCTCTCTCTGTCTCATTCTCTCTCTCAAATAAATAAATAAAATCTAAAAAAAAAAAAAAAAAAAAGAAAGCTAGGCAAAAAACTTCAACAGGCACTTCAAAACAGCAAATATGTGAATAGTATATAAATGGCCAATGAACATAAGATACTCAACCTCATTAGCCATCAAGGAAGATCTCCAAGAATGGGTAGAATTCGAAAGACTGGCAATAGTATTGATAAGAAAGTAGGACAACAGAACTCTTACACTGCTGACAAGACTATAAATTGACAAAACTACTCTGAAAACTATTTGACATTATCTACTAAATTTAAACACAGGCATATCAAGTGACCCAGCACTTCCACTCCTTGCTATATATCCACCAAATGAAGTACACACACACGTACAATAAAACATACACAAACATGATCAGAACAGTATTCATAAAATTTACTGAAACAAAAATTACCCAAATAACCAGCAATGGGTGCACAGATAAATTGTGCTATATCCATACAGGAGAGTATTAAACAGTAATGAAAATAAACAAATTACAGTCAACAACTTGTATTACTATCACAAACAATACTGAATGAGAGAATAGACATGGAAGAATAATACTGCATCATTTTATTTATATAAAGTTCAAAAAGAGTTCTACATTGTTGTAAGTCAAGACAGCAGTTAACCTTTAGAGAGAAAAGAAGAGGTAGTGAATTGGAAAGGGACTTCTGAGGTGCTGGTAATGTTCTTTTTCTTGACCTGGATGGTGGTTTCATGGAAGTTAATAATATTTAAGGTACATATTTACAATCTGTGTACTTTTCTGTATGTTTATTTTAATTAGAGAGTTATCAAACTTAAACTAATGAACATCTATAGAGTAGGACAATGTTACCTTTGGAATATTCTGAAAGAAATACCAACGGTGATTTGGACATTGGAGTTTGGAACTTAGAAGAATAGGCTAGAGAGATTTAAAAGACAGCAACATGCTAACTGACAGCACCCAGTGAGAAGAAGGAGTGAAGTTGTAGTAAAGGACAGAGAGCAAGGGGAAGAGAGTGGAGAAGTGAGATAAAGTCTAAGACAGAAGAATATCAACATTTAGAAGCATGGGTGGGTGGGTGGGGAGAAACAAGAAAGGACCAGTCTGAGGGAAAACAGAACCAAGAGGAAGTGATGGCACAAGAATTACAAGAAGCAGAGAGCGGGCGCCTGGGTGGCTCAGATGGTTAAGCGTCTGCCTTCGGCTCAGGTCATGATCCCAGCGTCCTGGGATCGAGTCCCGCATTGGGCTCCCTGCTCCTTGGGAGCCTGCTTCTCCCTCTGCCTCTCTCTCTCATGAATAAATAAAATCTTTATTAAAAAAAAAAAAAAAGAAGCAGAGAGCAACCAACGATCAATGTTGGGAAAATAAAATATCTACTGGATTGTACAACTAAGAAATAGTTGGAAATGTCACTAATAGTCTTTTTCAGTGACAGGATAAGAACTAAATTCACAGGAACCAACAAACTGCCATAAAGGGACAGAGAGCAGACAGGAGATAGCTTTAAAAAATGGCAACGGATTTTCATGTGTTCTAGGTATTTGAGAAAGACTAAACCTAATTAAATATGGAAGAGAAGACACACATGGTCAAAGAGATTCAATAAACAAGAAATAACAGGAACATAATATATAATAAGGCTTAAAGCTGCACTGTTCAATATGGTGAACACTAAAACATGTGGCTCTTTAAGTCTGAAATAAATGTGATTCCTCAGTCGCACTAGCTACATTTCAAGTACTCAACATTCACATGTGGCCAGTGATTATGATATTGGACAGCACAAATATAGAACAATTCCATCATTACAGAAAGTTCTACTGGATAACACTGGTTTGGGAAAAAAGGATGAATTTTAAAGCAAGGATAAAGGGACTTTATAGTATAGGATGATGTACTTGCATATTGTTTATAGGTGAGATGGTGGGAAAAGGGAAATGTTGAGGGTGCTCATTTCTGACAGCCTCATTATTTCTGGAAAATAGGAAATTAAAAATCGCCTGCCAGAAGTGGGGCAGGAATTGGACAGATACAGCAGGAGACAGTGAAAGCTGACTGAGAAAACTGACAAGTGAGATTGGCTGGGTCCAAGAACAAAGATAATGAAAACAACCCTCCTATCAAAATGGAAGGTGGACAAACATTTTTCAGGCAAGAAAGAATCAGAAAAATATGTATTAACAGAGAATAAATTCAAAATAGAAGAGAGAAAAGGCGATGGGAGTCCCTGCAAAAAGGCCTCCATCTCTTCACTAAAATAGAAGACAATCTCACTTGCTTAAACAGAATTAGATAGGTATGGGTTTGGGCATTTACAGAGAGCAAAAAAAGTTTGGAAGTCTCTGTGTGGAAGATGAAAGAGAATCAATTAGTGATGGAAAATAAAACTGTCAATCAGCCCTAACCACACAGCTAAGATCGGAAAGTTCAATTTGTAGTATTTCCAACCAAAATGATTATACAACTTTCCTTAACACGTCGAAGCCTTGGACTGACAAAATCAGAGAGCTGTAGATTAAGGAGACAAGCCAAAGTGTAAAGTCTACTACAATGCAAATACAAACATAGGTGACCTTTGAACAACACAGGTTTGAACTACCCAGGTCCACTTATAAGCAGATTTTTCTTACAGTATACTACTGCAAGTGTATTTTATCTTCCCTATGATTTTCTTATAAGATTTGTTT